TGGGGACGAGGGCTGTGCCTCCGGAGGTCCGCGCGCTCCCTCATCCGCTTTCTCCTGCACCCGCGGTGGGGAAACGGGTCAGTGAGATGGGACCCTCGCCCGGTGCCACCTGCCGGTTGCCTGGAGCCAGGCCAGGAGAGACGCGATTGCAGCTTATAGAGGGGAAACCGAGGCTCCAGAGTGAGTGGCAACCCGAGGGGACGGCAGAGCCAATCTCCCCTCTTCTCTCCCACTCCCCCAGGGTCAGCGAACACATGGACCTGGGGCCCGCAGAGCTGGTGGGCCGCAGCTGCTACCAGTTTGTCCACGGACAGGACGCAGCCAGGATCCGCCAGAGCCACCTGGACCGTGAGGACCTCCCCCGGCTGGGCCGCCCCAGGCCTCAGCCCCGCTCCCCGAAGTCCTGCTCTGGGGGTGATCACGTCCCTCCTGTTACCAACCCCAGGGCTCAGCTCAGCACAGAGAGCAGCAGGGAGCCCTGAGCGGGGTGGGCACCGGTGGGAGTGGGGTTGGCTGCGGGCCTCTGACCCACCCACACCAGGTGCTGCCTTCTGACTGGCCGTCTCCCTCTGTATGTTGCCTTTCTCTTCTCCCACCACCTGATCCTTCCTGTTCCCCCGTCTCCCCGGTCCCTCTCCGCACCTGCCTCCCCATCTTTCCTGGCCCACCTGTCTCCTCTCCCTCCGCCTGTCCTCCTGTCTGTCTCCCCATCCCTTCTGGCCGCCCTGCCCCTGCTGGGCCCAGTGCTGGACAAGGGCCAGGTGGTGACCGGGTACTACCGCTGGCTGCAGCGCGCGGGGGGCTTTGTGTGGCTGCAGTCCGTGGCCACCGTGGCTGTGAGCGGGAAGAGCCCCGGGGAGCGCCACGTGCTCTGGGTCAGCTACGTGCTCAGGTGAGGGCTGCACCCGCCCGTCCCACGGGGGCTGGGCCCACAGAGAGGGCTCTAGCAGGGGACAAGCTGGGAGCAGGAAGGGGACGGGGACAGAGCAAAGGCCCGGAAGCGGAGTGTCCTTGCTGCAGGAGGCAGAGGAGTGGGGAGTGGATGACAGTATTGGCCAGTGAGGCCGGTCTGCGGCGGCCTCCGGCCCAGGCTGAGGGACTGGACCCGATCCTGGGGCACTGGGGAGCCATGGCGGGGTTTAGAGCTTTTGGGAAAGCCTCCCTGGTTGCTGTGAAGAGGGAGGAAGCTGGGGCAGGTCCTGGGGAACACCAGGCCATGCAGGGGAGGCGAGGTGGCCACGCCTCTGTCCTTGCTGGGCCTGGACCCCGCCCCAGAGGGGCAGCAGTTTGGAAGGAAGACACGCACCAGTTGAGCAGCAGGAGCCTGGGGACACCTCGGGGTGACATCCAGGGCCGCACCGGTGTGGCCTCTGGGTGGGGCCAAGCTGGGCGACAAGCCAGCGTGGAGTCTGGGGTCCAGTCATGAGGCCTGAGTGCTTTGGGGTGGAGACGCTATACTCGCTGGGGCGGGGCTGTTCTGCACTCAGATGGGGAGGGGGAGTCTACACCCACAGCCTGGGGGGACAGAGGGAGTCCGCCCTCACCCAGGAACCTGGCCCCAACCCCACCTGTCTCTTCTCAGCCAAGCGGAGGGCGGCCACACACCTCTGGACGCCTTCCAGCTTCCAGCCAGCACGGCCCGCGAGGACGTGTCCAGCCCAGAGCCGGAACCCGCAGGTGAGCCCCCTCCCACCGACCCTGGAGGCTCCCAGCGACCCCTGGCCCCTGGGCTGTCCAGAAGCCACTAGCCACAGAGGGCTGCTGCTTACGTTAAAACCAAAAATTCAGGTTCAGTCAGACTCGCCACACTTCAAGCATCTGTAGCCATACGTGGCCAGCGGCCCAGGCGTTGCATGGCGTAGACACGGCGCATCCTGGTATCCAGGAAAATTCTGTTAGCCCCGGGCGAGGCCAGGGTTTCTCAGTCTCCGCTCCACTGCCGCTAGGGACCAGGCGACCCTTTGCTTGGGGGCTGCCCTGTGATTGGGGGGTCCTCAGCAGCATCCCTGGCCTCTCTCCACTGGATGCCAGGAGTCCGTCCCCTGGGGGAACCCACCCCAGCGGAGACCCACCGAGTCACTCCACAGATGGCTAGCCCGAGGGCTGGGCACGCGCTCACACAGCGCCCTTCAAATCTTCTTCCAGAGCCAGCGCCTCCAGTGCAAGGGAAGCAGGCTGTCCCCCCAGACGAGGAGGAGGCCCCCCAGACCCAGGGCAAGTGCATCAAAGTGGAGCCTGGCCGTGGGGACACGAAAGACCCGGAGGACAGCGGAGACGAGGAGCCAGCTGGCCACGCAGCCCCGCCACGGCGCGAGTTCACGTCCGTCATCCGGGCAGGGGCCCAGAAGCAGGACCTCGTGC